CATCTTGTACAGCAATTAACCACTATGAAGAATGTATACAATGTGTTAATTATTGAAACTGTCCTACCAATTTGATTTGAAACTGTCTCATTGCTATTTTTTTCTCAATAAAACTATGGGGAAAAAAAAGAAATTGTATAGAATTTCATTAAACAAAATAATATGAATTTGACAGTATTTACTGTATTTCATAGTGTTGTCTTCAACTTAGTTGTTCAGATTACCAGATATATGCATGCAAAATTGAAAAGAGAAAAAAGTTATAAGAAATTAAGAGAGAAAGAGGAAACAAAAAAAGAAAAAAAAGACAAAGACATAAAAAATTAAGCATTAACTGCTCCCTTCCATAGACCTGCAAAAACCTCTTGTCCTTCTTATCACAATAAACCATCGTCTCAGTTACTTTTCTCTTGTTGCTGGGACAAAATACTCGACACCCAGAATGAAGGGAGGAAAGGTTTATTTAGCTCACAGTTAGTGCAAGTTTCAGTCCCTTCTCAGCGGGCTCCAAGGCAGAGAGGCACACGCAGAGGGCAGCAGCTCATGGCGGCACAATCCAGGAAAGCAGCAGGAGCGAGTGGGAGGAGTGGGGGCGGGGCAACAATAGCTGCCCAGAGTGAGTCCACCTGCCTTATTTGCATTTAGGTTATCTGCCCCAGGCTGGGTGTAGCACTCACTCCCATAATCCCAGCAGCACTCACACCCATAATCTCAGCACTGGATCATGAATTAATCACAAACTCTAGAAGTCTGCTCTGTAACTGCATGAGGCTTTGGGAGGACAGCTAGAGACAAATCATAACAACCATGAAACTTTTTAAAAAAATTTATATACTTGGTACAGGGTCTCACTACCTAGCTCAGACATGTAGTAATCCTCCTGTCTCAGCCTCACCAGCACTGGGACTCTAAGCATGTACCACCATGCCTGGTTTTGGTGGGTGGCCTAGCGCCCCTGGGGATAGGACTGGCGTGGCATTCGTGCAGTCCTAGGGATTGAACCTGGGGCCTTGCTCTTTCCAGGCAGACGCTTAGAGCTAACTCCCTGGCCCCAAACCCTGAAACTTTTAAAGTGTGCTGCTGTTATTTTTTTTATTTATGTGTGTGTGTGTGTGTGTGTGTGTGTGGGGCCAGCTCAGCCCACCAGGGGGCGGGGCTGGCTGGCATGTGGTGCTGGGGGATTGAACTGTGGTCTCTGTGCTTTGCTAAGCTTGTTCTAAGTAGGTGCTTTAGACCACTGAGCCATCTCACCAGCCCCTGTGCTGCTGTTAGCTTGTGGACTGTCTTTCAGTTTGGGCTCATGTGACATTTTCTTATGAAGTTTGGGGGAAATCCCATAGCAGTGATGTTTTGGCCTTCTTCATACATCAGGCAGGACCTGATATTTCTTACAGGTTCAGTTATACTTGTTCACTTAGTTAAAATGCTGTCAGTTTTGTATTTTCCTTTTTTGTTCAAGGGTCTTACTACACAACCCACATTAGTAGTGATCCTCCTGATTTTTTTTTTTTTTTTGCGGAACCGGGGATTGAACTCAGGCCCTTGTGTTTGCCAGGCAAGCGCTTATTCTACTGAGCTATCTCCCCAGCCCCAGATCCTCCTGATTTCTGCCTCCCAAGTGCTGGGATTATAGGCGCGTGCCACTGTACCCAAACTCCATCAAGGGCTCAGCACACCCCGGGGAGGGGCCGGCGTGGCATGCGGAGCCAGGGATCGCGACCCTGGCCCCTGCACTTAGCTAAGCAAGTGTTTAGTCTGCTGAGCTATACTGGCGGCCCTAATCTGTCAGTTTTCTTTAATGAAAATTACAATATTTCTATACACTAAGATGGTTATGTTGTAATATTTAATAGGTGGTCATCCTTATGAATATTGATCTGCTTCGGCAACAACAGCGTTGGAAAGATGGATTACAGGAGTTGAGAACTGGTTTAGCAAGTGTAGAAGCACAGGTGGAGTATATTTTACTTTTTGCCTGTATTATGGAATATAATCCTTTTATAATATATATGTATATATATATATATATATATATATGAATTGATGAGAAATATATCTATCTTTAAATATTTGCCCATAAATTTGTAGTAACTTTAGAGCTTTTTGACAAATTATACATGTAAAGATCAAAATTTAGCAATAAATTTACAGTAAAATTATTAAAAATGTTTGTTTTATGGAATGCTAAACTTCCCAATTTAGAGTTTGTAGTGTTTCCACCTTGTTATTTAAATATCTGTTATTTGTTAATTCTCTTTCATTGTGACATCTATAGAACATAAAGTTCAGTTTAGGAGGAGACTAGTAGTAGAAATACCTTTATGCGAGAATTGTTGCCTTTTTTTGGAGAAGGCACTAAAAGTCAGTTTTATTCACAATTTAACATAGGATATGATGTACCTTGAGGTGGTGGCAGAACACCTGCTACGTAGTAGCGGGTAAGAGAATCATAATTAAATATGTGTTAGCTGTTGAATCACAGTTGAATATATTTGTTGTAGTATTTCAGAACTTTAAATTGTACTTTTTTTTTTTTTTTTTTTTTTTTTTGGTGATACTGGGGATTGAACTCAGGACCCTGTGCTTGCCAGGCAAGCACTTATTCTACTGAGCTGTCTCCCTCGCAGAACTTTAAGAGAAAAACAAAAATACTAGTTGTGTGGAAGTAGAACAGTGTGTAAATTCTCCTTGCCATTGAAAGTAGTTACTTTCTGCTCAGTGGGACACAGTGCCACGAACCACGATTCTTAGGAGGAAAAGCTTCTGTGGCCTCCAAGACAGGGTGACAGGGTGACATGGTGACAGGGTGACATGGCAGCAGGCCATAGCAGAGAAGGAACTGCTCCTGTCATGGCTGGCAGGAAGCAGAGACAAGGGAGAAAGAGGGATGAGTCCTGTGTGTGCACACCCTTCCGGGCCACGCCCACAGGGGTGCAGTCTTCTCCCAACGTCACACCCAGCTGTAAACCCCAGAGTGGACCAATCCAGTGGTGAGTGTCACATACCCACAATCCAGCCTCCTCCCAGAGCCCCACTTACGAGTGCGTGAGACTTTGGGGCACATTTGAGATCTAGATCAGAACCGCATTTTAAGATGTTAAAGTTCTTATGTTTTAAAATATCCAAGGAATCATTTAGGAAGTGGAAAAGAAGACTATTGATAGAAAGAGCTGTCCTGATTTTTTCCTCTTCTGGAGGGGCAGTGCAATTTTAGCCTGATTTGTATCTGACCTGGAATATGGTGTTAATAGAGGTAACAACACAAAGCCTGCTGTGATAGGTGCTAATGCGTCTTAGTGAATATGGGTTCCATGCTTCATGGGAATTTTTCAAAAATGACTAGTTACAAAACGAACCATTCTTTGTGTTATAAAGTCCAAATATAAAATCCATTTAATATTAGCTTAATTTTCTAATATTGTTGCTTTATGTGCCATTCATAAACATGATGATTAGATCTTTGTATTTGACATCGTGTAAACTTGCTGAAAGTTCAAAGAGTTGCACGTTTTAGAATATTCAAAATGAATTGTCTTACGTATAAGCATACTTCCTGTGACTTGCGAGTGTTAAGTGCGAAATCTATTCTACTGTCTAATTTGTAAGTAAAGAGCCATGTGAACGCCCCCATTAGGGCTTCCAAGCCAGCGACATGCGCGCCTGGAAGCAGCACTGGAACCACCAGCTCTACAAAGCGCTCGAGCATCAGTATCAGATGGGCTTGGAGGCGCTCAATGAGGATCTGCCGGAAATACATGTTGACTTAATTTACAAGTAAGGGGCTTTAATGGCCTAACTTAATTTCCAATTCATACTTTTTAAGTAACTGTATATTAAATATGTAATTGAAGTCTATAAATTTATATGTAAAATTAAATTCATATTTTGTTTTCAGGCAAGGCCGGTTACAATTCAGACCCCCTTTTGAAGAAATTCGGGCAAAGTATTACAGAGAAATGAAGAGGTTCATCAGCATTCCCAGTCAGTTTAGAGGAGTAGGTGATGTAGGGGATGAGTCTATTTTTTCTATAATGATCGATAGAAATGCAAGTGGATTTCTGACTATTTACAGCAAAGCAGAAGATTTGTTTAGAAGACTGTCAGCTGTTTTACATCAACATAAGGTATGGAACATATCCTTTGTTTCATAAATTTCAACTGATTTAATCACCATTAAGCATCAGCTTAATAGTTTACCTTATGTGGCATACAGTTAAAACTTGGTCAACCAGAAAGCCCAATTTGTGGAGTCTTATACAACTAAATTTAATCTGTGAGTGAAAAAGAGTGATAATGTTTTTGTCTAACTATTTTGTGAAAGAAACTAAAACTTGTTTTATTATTGTGTTAAATTGGAATGTGACATGACTGTTGTCATTTTTTTTTTTTCTTTGAGACAAGGCCTCACTATGTGCTGGCCTTGAACTCACTGTGTAGCCCATGCTGGCCGTGAGTTTGTGGTGGTCCTTCTGCCACAGCCTCCCAAGTGCTGGGACTGCAGGTGTGTGCCACTATGCCTGGACACTTTGGTCAGCTTTAATTCTCCTCGAGAAAATATATTTTGAGAGGAAGTGCTCAAAGTTTAATGAATTCAGGGTGATATATAGACCTGTTGTTGTGTGTGAAAGTCATAGAGCAGTGATTGTGAACCTTTTAGAGCTTTCAGTGGTAACCGCAGGCCGTAGGTTCACTAGCACTGTCCTAGAGTGTGCCTGCACACACCTGTGCACCTGGGCCACGTGGTACAGGTCACACTGTGTGTGTGGTGTCCTTGATGTGTCATAGTGTGGAGCGTGACTGTTTCTTACTGTGTGACATGCATCAGACCGCATAATTCCAAATGCTCTATAAAGCCTGATTTCATTGCTCGTTTGTATTGCTCCTGAGTATGACTGAAAGTTGGTTCATGTCCTTAACTGAAACTGCCGTCTTATACGCTTGACATTTCTAGACTCTACTGGGTAAATCTGGATGCTTCCAGATCCGCAGCTTGTGACAGTGAGCTTTAACTTTGGAGCAGTGATTCTATCTTTGTGTTTTATGTTCATCTACTTTAGAAAGATAATCTAAGGAAAGGATTTTATTTTTTATTTTTTGGTGGAGCCGGGGATTGAGCTCACACCCTTGTGCTTGCCAGGCAAGTGCTTATTCAACTGAGCTATATCTCTAGCCCCAAGAATTTTATTCTTTTCTTAAAGTTTATGGTTTTTTTTCATACTAAATTTTTTCCTCTGTTCTTCAGGCTGTGCAGTAATGAGTGCATATGCCTTTTTAAATCAACATTTTTCTCTAAATCTGTACATTTTTCTCTTCTGTTTTGGTCCAAATAGTTGGATCCTAAGTTTTTTAATAGCAGTTTATTAGTTCTAGTTCTCTAATAATATGCTTCTCATTCTTTAGGAATGGATTATGATTGGGCAAGTGGATATGGAAGCTCTTGTGGAAAAGCATCTGTTTACTGTGCATGACTGGGAGAAAAATTTTAAAGCATTGAAAATAAAAGGGAAAGAAGCAGAGCGACTTCCGAGGTATTACAGGCTATTGTGACACCGCTGCACTGTGACCAAGTAGCTTTTGGTGTGGGTGGTAAGGATGTTCTCCGCTCAGTTGCATTGAAATCAGATTCTTCACTCCTCTTGGTCTCAGCTGTGATATTTAAGCATCCTCTGGACAGGGACGAAAGACATGCCCTTTCTAGAGGTGCTGGCTGAGATTTAGTTCAGTAGAGTAGACTGGAGGGTGAGGCTTCTGTTCGGCTCTGTTACGAGGCGCTGTTGCTGCATGTTAGTGCAGTCTGAGCACAGACAGAAGCTGCTGGTGAGAGCACAGCGGGGGCATAACGCTGGTGATATTTGGCCTGCTCTGCCTGCTCTCCCGATGCCCCGGGAGGTGTGCAGTGAAGCGCTGCGCTCGTGTGTGCTCGTGTGCGGACCAGGGCTCTGGAGGGGGTGCAGTGGCCGCGCTCCTTCAGTGTATCTCCCTTGCTGCCTGACATTCGTAGTCCTTGGGCCACAGTGAGCAACACCTTGCATGAAAGGCCTGGGTAATGGGGCGCGTTGCCTGTGAGAGGTGACGCTGCCTTCATTCATTTCTGTATGCACATGTTCGTGATTTGGCTACAGGATGCTGAATTTATCTTGTGTTTAAATAAGCGTGTTCTATGCTCTGACAAAGTATATAAATATTTAAATATATTTTGTTGATTCTTCAATAATTTAAAATGTGCTTTTGTAAAAAACTGATACGTGGGAGATGATAAACAAATTATTGTCATATTTACATTGTCCAGCACAAAACCTTTGAAATAGCATATGTAAGGCACTTTTTCTAAATTAAATCCAAAACTTAGATGTGTTTAAAGATCACAGTAAGCTGGGCATGGTGGCACAGTCGTGTAATCCCAGCACTCAGGAGGTTGGGGCAGGAGGATTTCCCTAAGTTTGAGGCCAGCCTGAGCCCTGTCAGAGTTCAAGGCCAGCTTGTGCTCCAGAGTAAGACCCTGTCTCAAATAAATGAATAAATAAATCAATAAATATAACAGTAGTACTTTTGACTTAAAATTTGATTTTATATAAAGTCATTACAATAGTATGAGAGTTTTTTCATGTTAAATATGTCCCTGACAATTTTTAGTACTGTTATGGTGGATTGCTTGAAAATTAATTGCAACCCTGTGAAGGCTGTGATTGATGACCTCATACAGAAGTTATTTGATATGCTTGTCCTTTCTTTGAAGAAGTCCATCCAAGGTAAGGACACTTTAATTTTAAGTTTTACTTCATCTTTTAGGCATATGCTTTGGTAGTCATAAAATATGAATTTCAATAATGATTAAAAATTGAAACCAAACTAGACAACGTTATGAAATAAAATTTGGGGCTGGGGAGATGGCTCAGTAGAATAAGCACTTCCCTGGCAAGCACAAGAGCCTGAGTTCAATCCCTGGTTCTGAAAAAAAAAAAAAAAAAAAAAAAAAAATTTGTTCAAAATGACAATTTAGAAAAAAATGATAGTTTATGAAAGTAAGAAAACTCTCATTCATTCTCATGAGATCTAAAATCTAGCGGCATCTGTATTTGGAGTTTGAGTTGGTTTTATTTTGTTGTGTATTACTAAGAACTGTAGGTAATTCTGGCATAATCCAGTTTTCCTTATTTCTTCAAATGACATTAAATATTTTAATAGTAGGAAAACTGAAAAAACTTCTAATTTTTAGTAAATTTTATTAAGAATGATTATATTTTACTTTTTCTTTTTGAAGACTTTTAAGCACAATTGGAAACCAGTGAACTTTCATGGAAAGAAATTTGCTATTCAATATTTTGAAATTTTGTTGTATGACAGTGAATATTTGTAACGTTTTTTTCACTTAGAAATGATGTGAATATTTTTGGGTAATACCAGTAATTATCTTCTATTTCAATGTTACTACTTAGCTCACTTACATGAAATCGACACATTTGTTACTGAGGCTATGGAAGTCTTAACAGTTATACCCCAGTCCGTGGAAGAAATAGGTGATGCAAATTTCCGGTATGGTAAGCTACAAGAGCGGAAGCCAGAGGTGAGATCATAAAATGAGGTGGTTTTTTTATTAAATTGGAGATACTTAAATTCTATAATTTTGTGCTTAAGTATATAGTTTGAACCTGAAAGGAGTTCTGTATAATCTGGTCCAAGTCCCTGGCTTGTGTTTGGGCTCTTGATTCTGTGAGGGTTTAGTGAGACACGAGTGTAATGCTTTGTATTGTTTTTAGAAGTTTGTTTTATGATAGTTGAGAATATTAGCAAACGAATAATTTGTGCTGTCACATTCAGAATTCTAAGTTCATGATGATTCTAAATTATGAAGGTAGAATTGCATTCTGAGTACACATGTAGTTTTTTAATTTTTTTTTTTTTTTTTTTTTTTTTTGCCAAACTGGGGATTGAACTCAGGCTCTTGTGCTTGCCAGGGAAGCGCTTATTCTTCTGAGCCATCTCCCCGGCCCTCTGGGTACACATGTACATAATGAAAAAGCTCATAATTAATGACAAAGATGAAAGAATGGTAAAGCCTTATTAGAAAACAGCATCTACAAGGCTATCACCCAGACTAAGCAAGCCAGTCTTTTTTTTTTTTTTTTTAGTATATGTGCTGCTTAAGTGAGTGCACAGGACACAATTTTATACAACATATTATAGATGACTTTAATTATGCTTGGAGCAAGGAGAAGAAATCATTCAGATCCCTGCATGCATTTCTATGTGGCTCCACTATGTGATGCAGTTAAAGTTAGAGACTTTAACAATGAAAAAATACACCTTCTAGTGGAAGGAATTATAGATTTATATGACAGGCTTAAAGGTATAAAAGAGGATTTGAGTGAATAAAATAATTACTTTTCTAGTAGAATCAATTAAAGAATGATCTTGACTTGTGGCAGTTAGCAGAAGAATGGAAGTATCCATTTATTTCTTTAGCATCTAGATCATCAGGTGTGTCTGAGGCCTTGTGGTAGGAGTGGGATGTGCATCTGTGAACGTGCTTTATTCTCATGGATATGCGTGTGTGTGTGTGTGTGTGTGTGTGTGTTAGGAGGCGTGGTAGGAGGTCTAAAGAACCTATGTGCTAAACTCCTGGATGTTATTTGGGGTGTTTTCATCATGAGAAATGTTTCAAGAGAAACTTAAATCCGCTGAGCAACACCCTCAGTCTATGCAGATCAGAAGGCAGAGGAGTTTGTTATGCTAAGAAACAGTGAAGTTGTAATACTATCCTGAAAGTTTGTTATGAAGAAAGCATAATATTCAATGAATAAAATAGTATTAGTTAAAGTTGGAAAGGTGGGCAAGGGCCAGATTATGAAGGGACTTTTAGGATATTAATGAGTTTGGTCTTTTTCTTTTTCTTTTGTACTGGAGTCAAACTCAGGACCTTACACTTCCCAGCCAGATGCTTGTGCCACTGAGCTATATCCTGGCGAGTTTGGTTTTTTTTTAAGTGTGATGTCTTTACATAGTGCTCAGCAGAGAAGGACGCGGTGTGGTTTACACTTTGAAGTGATGAATCTGCTCACTCTGTGAAGAGCAGATTTTGGAGAATGAAACAGGGAACTCAGTTGGGTAGTTGTATCATCTCATTGTTATTAATTTATGTTCTAACTTTATGGGGTTAAATTACTTGATCTTATTTGGATATTGTAATGTGGCAGAAGAAAGCTGATGAAAACTTGTACGCGTTAGTAGCAGTGCAGATAGAATGGGAGATTGAACCATACTTCATAGTTAGGCCTAAGGAGATCTTCTGATGCACAGGAGTTTGGTGTCACTAGCTGGGCAGGAGGAGTTTACGCCTTTACCTGAGATGAGGAGGCCTAGAGGACGGACTAGAGCTTGGACCTAGTGGATAAGGAGGTGATTGCTAGAAGCTGATCTAGAGTAAATGGAAGATCCAGAGAGAGAAATTTGGGAGTCATCTTTATATCCCTGGGACAGTTCTGGCATAGGCCATCCAGTATGTAATGAACAGCAGAGGGTATGAGATGAAGATTGCATTGTGTGAAACAGAGTTCAGGCGTTGGAAGTAAAGAGGACTGAGAATGAAGCAGGAGGAAAGATTCTAACATCACAACAGCTAAGGTGAGAACTGGAGTTACTGTTGGCTGGAAACGGTGCACAGGTAGGATGAGGCATGAGAATTAGATCAGTCTAAGTCACACAGGCCATGATAAGGATCAGATGCTGTATTTTGTGGGCAGTGAGGAGACATTGTTGTATTTTATGCAGCAAGATGGAACAAAAGGCCGTAGAATTCTGTTTTGGTATGTCTGTAGTACTAGAAACAGGGAGATCAGGAAGCTGTGGTAGTATCTTTGCAGGCTAACCTAAGTTCTGGCCACAGGAAAGGAATCTGTATCTTACTTCTTTGTTCTTTTATAATTGTCCTGGTAGAAGAGGCCCTCTTGGTCCATTGGCTTTTCTCTGTTTCTTAGATGGAAATGCTTTGCCAGGAATCACTGAGATGTATATTGGAATTTCTTTTGTTGTTGTTTTGTCATATATCCACAGTGGCATTTAAAAATCTTCCAATGGATACTATTATTTTAGTTGTAAAAGTACAGGTATTAATTACAGGATATGTTTTACATTAAAAGATTTGGAAGTAGCTCAAGGAATTCGGTGCATGTTGCACTCCACCCAGACTACTCCCCAGGCTTCCTCTGTGCACAGCTTGGCATGTCTCAGCTAAAAGCTCCGAATACAGGAGCCTGGTTTCACCAGGTTAGCTGTCCCTGTCTTAAGTACTTTTTCACGATGATCTCTTCTCCATACAGTAGGATACTTTCCTCAACATGCGCTCTCATAGTCACTAACCTTCCTCTTAGGAGAGTCTTTAGCATTTTCTGATGAATAGAACATTTATTTATTTATTTATTTATTTTATCTACCTTTTTTTTTTGGGCGGTGCTGGAGATTGAACTCAGTCTCTTGTGCTTGCCAGGCAA